CCAAGATCCTTTTCTTTAACTGACGTTTGCAGCTGTTGGTTTCCTAACCTGTACTCCGTCTGCGGTCTTCTGTGTCCTTCCCCAATCTTCATGACCTTACACTTACTGGGGTTAAACTCCAGGAGCCATTTTTCGGACCATACTTGTAGTTTGTCCAGATCCCCTTGTAATCTTAACTGATCCTCTCCCACTTGAATCCTCCTCATCAGTTTCACATCATCAGCGAACAGTGACACTTCTGAATCTATTCCTTCCACCATGTCATTCACGTATACAAGAAACAACACCGGGCCTAGGACTGAACCTTGTGGAACCCCACTCGACACATTCGCCCACTCCGACACTTCAGCACGTACCAACACACGTTGTTTCCTTCCTGTCAGGTATTCCCTGATCCATTGCAGTACTTTCCCCTTTATTCCTGCCTGCTCCTCTAATTTTTGCACCAGTCTCTTGTGTGGTACTGTGTCAAAAGCCTTCTTGCAATCTAAGAAGATGCAATCTACCCATCCCTCTCTCTCTGTCTTACTTCTGTTACCTTATCGTAGAACTCAAGTAAATTTGTGACACAGGGTTTCCCATCTCTGAAGCCATGCTGACTGTCATGTATGAGCCCAATTTTTTCAATGTGTTCCACTACTTTTCTCCTGATAATCCCCCTCTCCTCCCTCTGTCTTTCCTGAGGATTTGATATCCGAGTGGAAATATTGCATCTGTTATCATTCTGGTGAGTTTTGTTTCTGTGAGTGCTATTATGTCTGGGGATGTCTCCTTGATTCTTTCATGGCACTCCTCACACTTATTTGTTATTCCATCTGCATTTGTATACCACACCTTCAACTTCTTTTCTAAGATTGTGGTCTGGGGGGGTACATTGGGGTTGGGGAAGTGAGAGACCTGATAAGGAACTATGGGTGGTTGCTGTGGGGGTGGAGTTTGTAATGAGGTGGGTGGGGGCATTGGATATGGCATGGGTGTTTTGGACTAGAATGTTTGGTTGCACTGGGGTTGTCCTGGTTGGGAGGCTTCTGTAGGTAGCTGTGAGGGAGGCTGTATTTGATCTTCTTCCTGAGTCTGGGATCTCCTGTCCGTCTCCATCTCCATCTTCTCTCTTTCCTCCTTTTGCCTTTGTACCATCTCTCTGTTTCTCCCTTTCTTCTTGTGTTCTGTCGCGGTCGAGATACACCTTCCGGTATGCCGGCATGTCCCTTAGTCTTGCTTTCTCCTGCAGGATCCTGTTCCGAGTCGATTCTTCCTTGAAAGTCACTTTCACTGGCCGGGTTCTTCTTGCAAACCCCCCTATTCTCCGATGTAGTGTGTGTGTGTGTGTGTGTGTGTGTGTGTACTCACCTAATTGTGGTTGCAGGGGTCGAGAATCTGTGTGTGTTTGTGTGTTGTGTGTGTGTGTGTGTGTGTGTGTGTGTGTGTGTGTGTGTGTGTGTGTGTGTGTGTGTGTGTGTGTGTGTGTGTGTGTGACTGTGTGTGTGTGTGTACTCACCGATGTAGTGTGTGTTGTGTGTGTGTGTGTACTCACCTAATTGTGGTTGCAGGGGTCGAGAATCTGTGTGTGTTTGTGTGTGTGTGTGTGTGTGTGTGTGTGTGTGTGTGTGTGTGTGAGTGTTGTGTGTGTGTGTGTGTGTGTGTGTGTGTGTGTGTGTGTGTGTGTGTGTGTGTGTGTGTGTGTGTGTGTGTGTGTGGTGTGAACACCCAGCTGTGTGTGACACAGTGCGCATAGTACTGATGGTGTAAGCAGAGTAGTTATCATGATATTTTAACAACACAGTACTGACTAAGCTCTTAACTAGCGAATGGTCGTAGATACTTTTTTAATGTATTTTTTATGCGAAGATTGAAGTGGAACACTACACTGGGAAGCCAGGTAGTGGGACACTACACTGGGAAGACAGGTAGTGGAACACTACCCTGGGAAGCCAGGTAGTGGAGCACCTCCCTGGGGAGCCAGACAGTGGGGCACTACCCTGGGAAGCCAGGCATTGGGACACTACCCCGGGAAGCCAGGCAGTGGGGCACTACCCAGGGAAGCAAGGCAGTAGGGCACTACCCTGGGAAGCCAGGCAGTGGGGCACTACCCCGGGAAGCCAGGCAGTGCGGCACTACCCCAGGAAGCCATACAGTGGGGCACTACCCTGGGAAGCCAGGCAGTGGGGCACTACCCCGGGAAGCCAGGCAGTGGGGCACTACTCCGGGAAGCCAGGCAGTGGGGCACTACCCCGGGAAGCCAGTGGGGCACTACCCCAGGAAGCTAGACAGTGGGGCACTACAACGGGAAGCCAGACAGTAGGGCACTACCCTGGGAATTATTATTATTATTATAATTATTATAACTACCCTGGGAAGCCAGGCAGTGGGGCATTACCCGGGAAGCCAGGCACTGGGGCACTACCCCGGGAAGCCAGACAGTGGGGCACTACCCCGGGAAGCCTGGCAGTGGGGCAATACCCCGGGAAGCCAAGCAGTGAGGCACTACCCCGGGAAGCCAGGCAGTGGGGCACTACTCCGGGAAGCCAGGCAGTGGGGTACTACCCCGGGAAGCCAGACAGTGGGGCACTACCCCGGAAAGCCAGACAGTGAGGCACTACCCCGGGAAGCCAGACAGTGAGGCACTACCCCGGGAAGCCTGAGTGGGGCACTACCCCGGGAAGCCAGGCAGTGGGGCACTACCCCGGGAAGCCAGGCAGTGGGGCACTACCCCGGGAAGCCAAACAGTGGGGCACTACCCCGGGAAGCCAGGCAGTGCGAAACTACCCCGGGAAGCCAGACAGTGGGGCACTACCCCAGGAAGCTAGGCAGTGGGGCACAACCCCGGGAAGCCTGACAGTGGGGCACTACCCCGGGAAGCCAGACAGTGGGGCACTACCCCGGGAAGCCAGGCAGTGGGACACTACCCCGGGAAGCCAGGCAGTGGGGCACTACCCTGGGAAGCCAGGCAGTGCGAAACTACCCCGGGAAGCCAGACAGTGGGGCACTACCCCGGGAAGCCAGGCAGTGGGGCACTACCCCGGGAAGCCAGGCAGTGGGGCACTACCCCGGGAAGCCAAACAGTGGGGCACTACCCCGGGAAGCCAGGCAGTGCGAAACTACCCCGGGAAGCCAGGCAGTGGGGCACTACTCCGGGAAGCCAGGCAGTGGGGTACTACCCCGGGAAGCCAGACAGTGGGGCACTACCCCGGGAAGCCAGACAGTGAGGCACTACCCCGGGAAGCCAGACAGTGAGGCACTACCCCGGGAAGCCTGAGTGGGGCACTACCCCGGGAAGCCAGGCAGTGGGGCACTACCCCGGGAAGCCAGGCAGTGGGGCACTACCCCGGGAAGCCAAACAGTGGGGCACTACCCCGGGAAGCCAGGCAGTGCGAAACTACCCCGGGAAGCCAGACAGTGGGGCACTACCCCAGGAAGCTAGGCAGTGGGGCACAACCCCGGGAAGCCTGACAGTGGGGCACTACCCCGGGAAGCCAGACAGTGGGGCACTACCCCGGGAAGCCAGGCAGTGGGACACTACCCCGGGAAGCCAGGCAGTGGGGCACTACCCTGGGAAGCCAGGCAGTGCGAAACTACCCCGGGAAGCCAGACAGTGGGGCACTACCCCGGGAAGCCAGGCAGTGGGGCACTACCCCGGGAAGCCAGGCAGTGGGGCACTACCCCAGGAAGCCAGGTAGTGGGGCACTACCCCGGGAAGCCAGCCACTGGGGCACTACCCCGGGAAGCCAAGCAGTGGGCACTACTCCGGGGAGCCAGGCATTGGGCACTACCCCGGGAAGCCAGCCATCGGGGCGCTACCCCGGGAAGCCCGGCAATGGGGCACTACCCCGGGAAGCCAGCCATTGGGGCACTACCCCGGGAAGTCAGCCATTGGGTACTACCCCGGGAAGCCAGCCATTGGGGCACTACCCCGGGAAGTCAGCCATTGGGGCACTAACCCGGGAAGCCAGCCATTGGGGCACTATCCCGGGAAGCGATATTGGGGCACTACCCCGGGAAGCCAGCCATTGGGCACTACCCCGGTAAGCCAGCCATTGGGGCACTATCCCGGCAAGCCAGCCATTGGGGTACTACCCCGGGAAGCCAGCCATTGGGCACTACCCCGGGAAGCCAGCCATTGGGGCACTACGGGAAGCCAGCCATTGGGCACTACCCCGGGAAGCCAGCCATTGGGCACTACCCCGGGAAGCCAGCCATTGGGCACTACCCCGGGAAGCCAGCCATTGGGGCACTACCCCGGGAAGCCAGCCATTGGGGCACTACCCCGGGAAGCCAGCCATTGGGGCACTACCCCGGGAAGCCAGCCATTGGGCACTACCCCGGGAAGCCAGCCATTGGGGCACTACTCCGGGAAGCCAGCCATTGGGCACTACCCCGGGAAGCCAGCCACTGGGCACTACCCCGGGAAGCCAGCCATTGGGGCACTACCCCGGGAAGCCAGCCATTGGGGCACTACCCCGGGAAGCCAGCCATTGGGCACTACTCCGGGAAGCCAGCCATTGGGCACTACCCCGGGAAGCCAGCCATTGGGCACTACCCCGGGAAGCCAGCCATTGGGCACTACCCCGGGAAGCCAGGTAGCGGAAGCATTTTTTATACATTATTTAAAAGCTTCTAAGACAGAAGTCAAGAAATACTCCAGTCAATGGAAGAATAAATGCGACCCTAGAGCTACAGCTCAACTCTCGCAAACACACACAAGCGCCAAATGGGTACAGGTATTATTATTATAATCAAGGGGGAGCGCTAAACCCTTAGGATTATGCAGCGCCTGTGGGGGGCATGTGGAAGGTATTCAGGCTTAATTCAGGGAACTGGAGCACAGATCCAATTTACCCGATCAAGAGCCGCTCACCAGCATCAAAGAAGGAAGAATCGTTCGTGATATTTTTTTAGTTCTAAACCCACGTGTGTCAGTCAGCGCAAGATGTAGTGGAAGGTTGATCCTTCGTCTTCTATCATTATTAAAAGAAAAAAAAGTGTTGAACACGAGGACTGACCTGCCTTCTTGCAGTGCGGTTGTCACAATCTGTCTCGTTGTCTCCACCTGCCCTGGTCTTACTCTGTTCACTGCCTGACGAAGAGAGCGTCACACGGTCGTACTTGCTGCCACTGCTGCTCCTCTCTGCGTTCCCCGTGTAGATCTGCGTGTTATTGTTGTGTCTGGTTTTATCTTTGGAGAGAGGGAGGATGGTGAGAGGTTGCTGGCTGATAACTGACTGTGGGCGTGATTGAGGGCGGGTGTTAGTGCTGGTGGTGATGGTGAAAACGCCATTGCTGTCGAATACAGTCTGCATGCGGGAGGCCGTCGCCACGGGAGGTAGCTTGCCCCTGTAGGGCGAGTGTGGGTCAGGTTGTAAGGCTAGAGGGTACGTGGAGGTGCAAGAGTTGGTGCCCTCAACGCGGCTAGGCTCCAGGATGGCGGGGATTGGCATGGTAGTGAATGATGGTTGTCCTGTGGGTGGCGGGGACGTGGTATTGTCCCCTGGAGAGCTGGTGGTGAGGGTAACAGTTGTAACATCCCCTGTGGTACTGTTGCGTCTCTCCCTCGCATTACTACTTAGAGTCTCCAAGGCAATCTCTTCCCCCTCTTCTATAGTAGTGGTAGCAGTGGTGTTAATGGTTGTAGTGGTGAGGGTTGGTGGTGAAGGTAAGGAACTCTCTCCTGAAGGAGAGGTTGCCGTGTCAGGAGATTCCTGAGCCTCACGCAACATCCTCTCAGCGTTCCTGCGGTAGGTAGTATACATCGGGATGAAGTGTGAATTGAATATAGTAATGTATTACATTTCCTTCACCTGACTTTCATCATCAATGCACTTAAAAACACTTTCTCGCCATAACAATGGTCTTACACTGAAGTCAAACCATTTTCTTTAGCATTCATGTCTTACACAAAGTTCACACAACCTCACACCGTCACGAGGGGAAAATCACTGCAGTAAACCTCCAAGAGTCGACCAGCGTTGGAAGTGAAGACGTCGTGATCAAGTACACACTGATAGTCCTCCATTGATTATACATGTAGCAGGCATCCCTCCATCACTACCCCTGCCACTCCCACCCTCCTCCTCCTCCTCCATCCTCTAACTTCCTTACCATCTTCCTCCTAATGTTATTAGTTTGTTCCAGGTCGTATCTATGACAACTCCACCACCACACACCAGATAAACACACATGCTTCGACCGCAGGGTAAATACAGTAGTAGTGCTTCCTCTTTCGTAGTGGGTTACAGTGAAGATGCAGATGATAATAATAGAGTATGTCCCCCAGGGCGCGAGCAAGGTAGGAAGGGAAGAGGAACGAGAGTAACAATGCTCCACGCTACACGTCTGGTGTACAACTGGCGACTTATCAGGGCAGTGACTGGGGCCAGGCTCCGCCACCCCCACCAACCTTCCTACAATATTCAGTTAACTCTGTCCGATTCCCCTCATTCACGCTTTAATAATTTTGCTTCGCACTGCATTTCTAGCTTTTCGTTCACGAACAATGTCTTTCAAATACACTATGCTTGGTAGAAAATATAAAATGTGTCGGTTTTCAAGTGTTTTCACAAACGTACGTTGCGCGTGTGTGTGTGTACTAGCCTATTTGTGGTTGCAGGAGTCGGTTCGCAGCTCCTGGCCCCCCGCCTCTTTGCTGATCGCTACTAGATCCACTCTGCTCTAAGAGCCTTGTCATACCTCTCCTTAAAGCTACTTATGGATCCTGCCTCCACTTCACTGTTCGCGCGCCCACGCACGCACACTCGTACATAATAATAATAATAATAATAATAATAATAATAATAATAATAATAATAATAATAATAATAATATAGCCCTAGCTGACATAGATGACATACTAATATATAAAAAGTCCCTTGTTATGCACAGTATTTCTGGCAAATTAGGTCAGTTTTGTCCCAGGATGCGACCCACACCAGTCGACTAACACCCAGGTACTCATTTTATACTGATGGGTGAACATGGACAGCAGGTGTCTTAAGGACACACGTCCTAATGTTTTCCAGGCGCACCGGAGATTCTATCTCCTGACCTCAGTGTGTGAGGTGGGCGCGCTAGCGATCGAATTACGGGACATAGACACACATTATTGCAAAATATATACAGGCTCGTTAATTAAGACAGGTTTTAGGATACTCTATCTGGCTCCTCAACCGGAACATTTCTACATAACAGCTACAAACAGTCGCACTGGGACGGCCCAATAGTGGGGAAATATAGCCTCAACAATCCTGGAATGTATGAGAGGGAAGAACAGAGCTCCTCACCTGACAGTGAGAGTCCCTCATGTGGGGGATTTTGTTTTGGTTATCCCTAATTCCTCTCTAGGCACACGAATCGACCCGCAGGTCATTCGTATCAGTGCTGCACTTAGCCTTGCTGCCTCTATAGATCTGTGAGAAATATTACAAGTCATGAAGAAGCTAACACTATCATCGAGAGAAGCCTTGTAATGGAAGAATATCCAGCTGCCCCAGTTATGTAGGTCAGATGGCAGCCTGGACAGATGACAAGCAGGTGACGTGGGACTACACATGTGCATCCACACTAACTGATACCTGTCTTCAATACAGCAAGGAGGAAGGAGGGGCGGCAGCTGCCAGTTTCAGGGAGTTCCAAAGTCTTAAAAAGTATGGAGAAATTGTTCTTCATTACATGTTTGTTACCATAGGTTCAGAGACCCTCGGCTCATGGGAAGAGAACGCATGCAAGTTCCAGAAAGAATTAGGCTAACGATTCACCAGGGAAACAAATGATCCCAGAACAGATAGTTTGCTATTCCAGTATGTCAGTGTTGCAGCTCACAGGGGTAGTGTTTGTTGTTTTCTTGGATGCACATCCCAGCTCTGAGGAACTGGTGAATATTTTGAAGAGTAACTGTTGACAAACCCCCCTGTGTTTTCGCCCACCAAAGCAGCATGGGTTCGACTCCTTGACTAGTCGCAGTGTTGTTATTGATCAATACCACTTGTTCGTGGGTAACATTATATATACCTGTGTATATATATATATATATATATATATATTATATATATATATAATATATATATATATATATATATATATATATATATATATGTGTGTGTGTGTGTGTGTGTGTGTGTGTGTGTGTGTGTGTGTGTGTGTGTGTGTGTGTGCGTGTGTGTGTGTGTGTGTGTGTGTGTCGTGCCGAATAGGTAAAATTGGTCAATTAGCAAGAACCCATTTAAAATTAAGCCCTTTCTAAAATTTTATCTTATACGTTTAGAGATACATTTTTCATTTATATTAATAGAAAAACTAATAATTTTGTAACAAAAATAACACAGAAAACTTACCTAACCTTATTATAACAAGCGCAATTTAATTTAACCTAATCCAACTAAATATATTTTAGATTAGTTTACAATAATTTAGTAACAATCTCAACGAAATATATTTTTTCGTTAGGTTCAGAATTATTTTTTTTTTGTGAAATTATTGTTTACACATTTTCGCTTGCCTTATTCGGCAAGAAGAGCGATGCCATTTAAGCCAAAATCGCAAGTTTTACCTATGCGGCACGACATATATATAACAGAGGAGAATTCGAACTATCCTCCCCTGGACAGAGACTTGAATAACAGCAGTTCAAATTACAATCAACTACAACGTAGCTGGAATTGTAACCTAAGCCATACCTGGGCTGACTATAATTTGAACTCGCTGTTATTCGAGTCTCTGAATATACGCAAAACCCTAAGCTGGTTGTATGCATGTGCTGACGAGGTGCTGAAATATTCCTGCAAGTGTGTGGGTCCGAGATGCTCCATGGAGGGATGGAGCAACTTGTGATAGGTGAAACCTTCACTCCCTTCTCATTAAAGTGCTTGTGCTTGAGTGGGTCTGGTCACTGCGCTCAGCTGCGTTGTAAACGCCAGGAAACATGGCGCTGGTTTTTGTCTTCTTGTGTGCAGACCAACGGGATAAAAGAATTAGAAATAGAACATATTTCCTTCATTGCAGATCTAATATTTAAGTCCCCCTCCTTTTTTCCTCTGATTTTTTTCTAATACACGTGAAAAAATCCTTTCGAATTTGTCTTGGATCACTTGCAATTTTGCTTTCATAGTCTCGTTTAACTTTTCTTATTTATTTTTCTCTTAATATGAACACATTGATGTGTCAGGAAATCCTGTCATGTTCTTTTTCGATATATGGGTAAATTCATCCCTTCTCTCCCAACTAAAATTTTAATCTTATCAACCTGAGATCATTTTCTTTAATTAAATCTTTCTATGGAGAATATCTGTTATTTGGGCAACTTGTACATTCTTTATAATAAATGTTACATCAGCAGTTATCTCTGTTACTGTTTGTAAGATCTTCGTCGATATGGACGAAGACGTGTGAAACGAACACTTAAGGCGTAATATTATGGAAATATTTCGGTCCTGGGACCTTGTTTACCTCAATTATTCATAGAGTATGAGAGACAGAGGTTTATGTAATGTTATGGGTCATCAGCATCGCAACATGATCAGGACCCGTGTCGGGAAACACTTGTTCAGTTTCCTGACAAATAAAGCAACAACAACAAGAGGGTTTTACATATCTGAAAGTACAGGTGATGGCGAAACGTGCTCAAGAAGCATGTCGGCCAGCATTGCAGATATGGTATAATTTCCTGTTCTTTTTGCTACATCCATAATAATAATAATTAAAAATAATAATTTTTATTTTACAAGTACATGACACAACAATTACAGATCTAGTTAACATCATTGACCTACTATATAGTAACCCATTGAGTATGCAGAGCATTTCTGGCAACTTTAGTTAATCTTGTCCCCAAGAATGCGACCCCGCAACAGTCGACTAACCATCAGGTACCTACTTACTGCTAGGTGAACAGGGACAGCAGGTGTAAGGAAACATGATCAACGTTTTACCCGTGCCGGGTGAAATGTTGCTACTGACTTCTAGCAACCACCCAGCTGTGGTGTTACCTGGCGATTCTCGTCAGTGCTACAACAGTAAGGCTATTCCTGCAAGCGTGCTCCGTGAGTGAATGTGGTTTTGCCAGATTCTTCCCTTCAGTTCACGATTAGTGCTGAAATTCATGATGTATCTTACACCTAGGAAGTGTACAAGTATTATAACTCTTAGAAAACGTGCTGATTTGAGTATCAAGACAGATCACCGAAAATGTGAGCCTAGCAAAGTCAACTGTTTATCGGATTCTGAAGAAAGCTGACGACACTGGTGATTGTGGAGCGCTGCGTCGAAGATGTGGAAGAAAACGCCAGACAACACCTCACGATGACTAGGGTATCATAAGAAATAGTGTAAAGGATCCCAAGAAAACCAGCAAGATTTACAGAGAGATTTGGCTTCAGCTGGCCTAAATATTGATTCTTCGACGAAGGCTCCTTGAAGTTGGCAGAACTGCCAGAAAGCCGGTAAAGAAACAGTTATTGACTGATGTTTTGAAGAAAAAAAAAAAGGCTGCGGTTGGTACTCAGTCATAAGGAATGAACGAAAGATGAATGGCTAAAAGTTATATTTTCAGATGAGGCGAATTTTGAAGTACATTGATATAGACCAGTGGTAGTGAGACGGAGCAAAGGCGAACCTCTTCGCAATGGACACATTCAACAAGCGCCAAAACACCGTCCAGGGTCGTTAGCCCTGGACGGTTTGTTACTGTTAATGGAACAATGACAAATGCAAGGCAATCTTGTCAACTCATTTGCTTCCCATTGTGGATAGAGACTTTCCTGATGGAGAAGGCATTTTCCAACAGGATCTTGCTTCGTGCCACACTTCCAGAAAAACGCTGACATTCTTCGAAGAGAGTGGGCTAAGCGTTCTAAATTGGCCTAAAAATTCTCCTGACATCAACCCAATTGAGAATCTATGGGCAATAACCAAACGCAGAATCGCGATAAAGGACAATTCAACTGTGGAGAAGCTAATTGCTGCTGTTATTAGGACCTGGTGCCACGACGAAGAACTTACCAAAATGTGTTCAACATTAGCCAGATCTATGCCAAGTGTGTAACAATGCTTATAAAAGCAAAGGGTAGTCATATCTCATATTAAATCAATTATCTGTCATATCATTGCCGTGTATTTTTCAAATAAACATTAGTATTCCAAATAAATGTCTTATTTCATCAATGTCCCAATAAATATAAACATTATGTACACTTCCCTATGTGTATACACGCATGTGTTTACCTTCATGTGTATGCGCATACGCAGCATGCCGTGTCTTGCGTGTGGGTACACCATTTCATACAATCATACACTGACTGTGTGTGCTAGATGTACACTCACAGTTGCTATGATATACTGTGTTTGTCCCTGTGCACCACTTCTTTTTTTATTGCCTTTAAAA